GTCTTTATCTCTCTCTCTCTCTCTCTCTCTCTCTCTCTCTCTCTCTCTCTCTCTCTCTCTCTCTCTCTCTCTCTCCCTCTCTCTGCACCTTGCTCCGTAGATGGTGTTTGAAGTACACATTATAGTATTTTATGTCTGCGACCGTTAATGCGTCTATGCCATCTCTCTCCAATTTATACTGTATTTGCCTCTCTCCCAGGTACGGTTTTTAACGTTACAGGTATTTTTGCAGATTAAAAACATGGTGTTGGTTTAACTAAGTAAATAGGAGTACCCTGAAAAAATCGATGTTTTTGTGTTTTAAGGCGCTCGCAACAGCATACGGTCATATGAGCGCTCGGGACAAATTAAACATTTTCAGCTTGGTAAGAATTAATATTGAATTTTGCCCAGGTGGCGGCTGAAGCCTACTCTTATCAATTTTAGACCTCCAAGGGATCTTTAACTTGCACACAGAACCTCCGAGATTGGTCACCTTTATCCGAGAAGGCTAGGTGTTCGATCTTACCTTCCCTAAGATCAGGTGTGTGGCTGAAAGACAGAAGTAAGAAGGAGCCAAGGAGTAGCAGTAGAAAGGATTCAGAAAGAGTCAGGAGCCCAGGGGAGGGGGGCAAAGGGAAAAAAATCTATAACACCACGGTTCAGAAAGTGGGCGATTGGCTGGTGCCCTGGTGTGTTTGCTCCCTCTTTCCCATCAAACATCTATTGCCCTAGTAATTTTTCCTCCTTATTCTCTTTGTATGTTGCTCTCTTACTCTTGTAACTCCTCTAATCTTCGGCTTAAAGTGACCTATTTCAATTTATATTGCTTGTATTGTAAACCTCTCTCTAAAACTAAACGGTTCAGAAAGATTTTGACCGACCGTCAACGCAACAAGTAGTGTTGTGTTGTGCCCAAGCCGAGGACGCGCGTGGTGGATTTTGACAGGATTAAATAATCAAATGCCTCTGTTTCCACGGCGCTGAATTATTCATCATACCGGGACAGAGCGCTCGGCGTGTGTCAACTTGCCTTGCGTGTGAACTTCAATTGGTCACAGAGCTTGGAGAAGGACGAAAAACGCATACATTTCACGTTTTGTTTAGTTATATATTTAAGAATTTTCCTGCACTTGCAACACAGTAAGGTCACAAAGTGCCGAAGAGTAGAGGTGTTGCAAGACGTGCAACATACACGCGAAAGGAGGAGAGAAAAGGATGATAGATGTTTGATAAGAAAGAAGGAGCAAACCACACTAGAGCACATTGACCTGAAATTTAGGGGGTGGGGGTTTCAGGAGGGTGGAAAGGGGTGGAAGCACAAGGTATGCGTCATCTCATCGTGGAAATAATAACAGTGCTTTACAATAAATAACCCATGCCTCTTTGCTCTTTGTCTATACGAGTTCAAAATTAAATTACACTGCTGTTAAGTCGTGAATAGTACGTACATAACTATTATCTTCTCTTTGGATTCTCAACAACCATTATGTCTGGTGACATTTCATTTACTAGGTCTGCGGTCTAAGTGAATATATGGAGGAGTAGTCATTCAAAGATAATTGTAGAGTAGTGCCTTTCTTTCCCGTTTTCTTACCGACTACTACCATTCTTCACTGTAACAATGTTTCACCAGTGGATGACTGAGGTCACTTTTTTGACAAACATTGTTTCATAAATAAAATAAAAACAGTCAGACAATTGATCTAAACAGACAAGGATGAGAAAATGAAAACAAAAAGTGTGAGTACCGCCTATTTCGTCTCGTAGTCTTCACATTATGGTAGTCACGTATTCGCTGTGTTTACATCTGGGTGGTTGGCGGGTGCTCTGGTGTGGTTTGCTCCTTCTTTCCTATCAAACATCTATCGTCCTATCTCCCCTTCTTCTTTTTTTATGTTTGTTACTCTCTTGTAACACCTCTAATCTTCTGGCGCTCATAATATGACCTTATGCAGTTGCGAGCGCCGTAAAACCTCTACTAAAACAAACAAACAAAACATCGCAAACATCGCACTCTGTCTCATTCTCCACGTCTGTGGAACGAAACTGACAGTCAGTCTTGCCAGCTGGGCTGGTGTTGTCAATGTGTACGCTCTGACTAAAGGCCAGGATGTGACACGTACGACGCATTAGAGCGTTTTAAGATTTCTCTTAGCACAAGGAGACCAGAGCCTCGAGGGATTCTGCCTTCTACCGAGTTTTCTCATGGGGGAGTGGAGAGTGGGGAGTAGTAGAACTGTGACTATTCGAATATACTGTTCAACATTCAGGATTTTCCGCTATTCACAGTTATTCGAAAGGTGGTAAAGCCCTTTCGAATGCCGAGTGATTTTTTCGGGCAGTAGATTTATGGACAGTTAATTGTCTCAACCCGACATCAAATTAAATCACATTATATATCTGAAATCATTGAGGTAAATGCAACAATATTTAGTATTTGATTATTACGATACAGAACAAAAAGAAGTGCCATCTAGAATAAATGTTGCTGACGGACGAAAAACTATTTGCACATGGTATTCGAATAGCGCGAATGTTGACCCCATACTTCGAAGCTTCGATACATTTTCCTTTCCTCAAAATTGCACCTCACCGCACTAGAGAGTAACAGACTGGAAACTCGTAAGAGGTCTCGGTTGAGAAGTTATAGGGTCGCGAGATTGGTGGTATCTGTCACCTCCATGTTTATTGGATGACTAAAAGCCTCTCTGGAGGCTTGGGCCACGCCGTTACACATTGGACAATGACATATGACCTGGATTACGGTACGAGCGACCTGGATTCCAGTCTCCAACGGCCATAATTGAACTCAATTTTCAGAATGGGATTTTTACTTCTTTTCTCTTTCTTGACTTGGGGTCATTGTTCTGGTTTGATGCCCCTTTCAACACAGTAAGATTATTCAAGAGGAGGGACCTACGAATTTAACGTTTTTCTCCGAATGGAACAAGCCAGACGAGTGGAGAGCCGTAAAAACTGCCCCAAATAACTCGGGTTTAGAATACCCCTTTTGGGATTCGAACCAGAGCCTTCTGCTGTGTAGCCCAGCATTATATTAGGTCCTATTTATTTACTCTCTCTCTATCTCTCTCTCTCTCTCTCTCACTCTCTCTCTATCTATCTATCTATCTATCTATCTATCTATCTATCTATCTATCTATCTATA